TGTCGCCGTCTCCCAAGCCCGTGGCCCTGAGAAGGGGTAGCGCCCAAACTTCAGCACGGCATGATGGTACAAATCCGACCTGCCTGGCTGCTGCTCTGACGAGCGGATGCTGTATCATCACCGCTCAACGGCATGTTGCTAACCGAACCTGCAGTGTGGCCCTTTCCTTTGCTGTGCACTTCAACTCTGCCGTCGGCTTCAGCTGTGGGTGCACGTCGGAAGGCCCTACCCATCGGTTGGAAGAAGTAGGTAGAAACATGAAATAGGAAAGCGATAAAAAAGGAAAGCGTTAACAAACATGAAATAGGAAAGCGATAAAAAAGAAAAGGAAAACATGAAATGAGGTAGAAACATGAAATAGGAAAGCGTTAACAAAAAGACTGGGGCGCCCGGCCCCTGAAGAGGAGGGAAGAGGGGAAGCCACTCGATCATTGAAGTAGGAAGGCGCGTAAAGCAGATTGAAGCCACTCGATCATTGAAGTAGGAAGGCGCGTAAAGCAGATTGGGATCACTCCCAAAAATACCAACTTTCAGCGACCGATGGGCAATGCCAAATCACCCGAATCGGATTTCCGCTCGCGCGGGCACCTCCCCACCCCGCACCTCAATCGTCATGCTCCTTCTTCTGCTCCTCGTCCAATCGTCGTCGTCGTCGTCCCCCTCCTCTCTCGCCCGCCCCCCGATCGACACGTTCCTCTTTCTCGTCGTCGTCCTCCTTGCCCACCTCCCCTCGTTGCCGCTCCTCCTCCTCATGCCCCTCCTCTCCTGCCGTCCCTCTCCATCCTCGTGCTCCCCTTCTCCTGGGGAGAAGCGGGCCCTCCCCTATTCCCACCAGCCCTCTGTAAGGAGCCCACAAAGGACGTACGCGCCCAGCTATGTACATGAACACGGCCCCTTGACCCGCGAGACTGGCCGTGTGATACGAACAATCGCGCAATGCGAACTCTCGAAACCAGCGTGGATTCATGTACGTGTACGTCCTTCTTTCGCTCCTGACTCTGATCTGGGCCCTGGAAGCCTCTGGAGGTCCCGAGATGGATGCACCCGGGCCAGAGGGCGCCAGAAACCTTCAAACACCCTCGGTCCTCGAACCTCGAGTCGAGGAAATAAGATCAATCAACATCGATTCGGAAACTCATGTCGGTTCGTTAACTATGTGCGTCGGATGCGGCCGCACCGGCCCGGAATCGGAATCGAATCGGATCGGCCGCGCCATGTAACATCCAACGCCATGCTCGGGTCGGGCGAAAGGGGGGGATAGCAAAGGGGGGGTTTGAGAATCAGCTCACGTAGCTGATTATCCTGGCGCCTCCCGGCGCCGGAGGCGGCTATGTATCGAGGAATGGGCCCCTCGGTGGGGCCGGAACCAGCTGCATGCAGCAGATTTCGTACCCCCCCCTTTCCCTATCCCCCCCCCTTTCGCTCGGCCCGACATGCAAACATCAAGCCGCATCGGATCCTCAGAGCATCGGACTGGGATCGGGCCGACCAGACTCAGATCGAATCACGCCGATCGGATAGATAACAGGGGATATGTCGACCCCTATCCCAGGCTTCGTGGGGTTTCCGAATGGACCAGAAATTTGGGGCCTAACCCTGGGATATACGATGGGGGGGTGTCCATTCTCGATAGGGGTGCGTCCGAATAGCCCCCTTGGAGTGTATCCCAGGGTTTTCCCATTCTTCTGAGCGGCCAGACTTTTCGGGCGAAACTCGGGGATTGGGGGAGAAACATCGCCCGCGAATAGAGGCGGTCCCCGGCGGGAGGGGGGCCGCGAAGCCGGCAAGCCCGAAGTCTCCTCTTGCCGCGCCGAGCCCTCGACCAGCCGCCTCGAGCCACGGGCGGCGACGGCACCGCTGCGGCTGGCGGCGCCCCCGCGCGGGCGTCACTCCAGGTGCTCCCAGACCCTCTCCTGCATGGCCCGCACCTTGGCTTTCAGCTCCTCCTCCTCCTCCTCCGCCTCCTCCTCCTCCTCCTCCTCCTCCTCCTCCTCCTCCTCCTCCTCCTCCCCCTTCCTTCTCCTCCTCCTCCTCCTCCTCCTCCTCCTCGTCTCCCTTTCCTCCCCCTGTCCTCCCCCGCAATCTTTCCCCTTCGCTCTTCCTCGTTGTCGTCCTCCTCCTCCTACCACCCTTCTTTTCTCGCTGCTCTTCCTCCTCCCAGGCTCTCCGTCCTGGCTCACAACCAGGATCGTTCCTCCCTCTTCACCGCCTCCTTCCCCTTCTTCTGACCCTGGTTTTGCGGAGACCAGCGGCGAGAATTTCGCAGAGAGCACGACTCCCGTCGGCCCTATGAACCTCATGGGCTCGACGACCCGTTCTGAACCGTATGAGCCTACTGAACCCAATTAGCACAATGACCTTTACGAGTCCCATGAGCCTCACCAGCCCTATGAAACGACCCGTTCTTTGGGACCCAAGAGCCAGTGGCATCTGTGATGCCAAGGACCCTACGAGCCTCCACGCCCAATGAGATCATCAGTCCGAGAAGCTCTCTGAACGCGAGTATGGCTGCGGGCCCTCGGAGTCTCATGATCCCCAGGAGCCGCGCTGCCCGAAGTAATAACTCCTCTTTCACATTCGCGCTCCGAGCTTTTGGGCCTCCATGGCTTCGGAAAGCCCTTCAGACCTCCGACCCAGAGGAGCCCATGAATCCTATCAGCCCTGTGTGCCCCATGGGCCCCATTGCCGAACACACACCGAGGTGCCTGCGACTACTAGTCGCGGCACGCCTCGCAGGCGCCAAGTGACCGGGATTTTCAAGGCGAAGCGAAGCGAGTCAGTAACATCTTGCGTCTGTAGTTCTACACATATATAGACACACACATGCCCATATACCTACACACATACATACATATATATATGAATTTATTTATATGTAGATACACTCACCCTCTGCCCCGGATAATAGTCACTCAGTGATAATACAATTCGGGGGTCTGGCGGGGATAATCAACGGTTTTCCGGGGGAAGGTGATGTTAGTTATAAGTTTTGAGGATGATGATGATGATGATGATGATGATGATGACGATGACGATGACGATGACGATGATGATGATGATGATGATGATGATGATGATGATGATGATGATGATGATGATGGTGATCCTGGGCCTAACCGTGTGAGGGTTGCGCTAAAAAAGTAACTCCAATGCTCTGCCTGCTCGAAAAACGCATGTGACATCAAAATCCAATCGGTCCCCATGGCCCTGCCACACGTTCCTGACTCTGGAACGGCTGAGAAAGTGAGAATCCCATGGCCCTGCCGCACGTTCGTGACTTGGGCATACTGAACTGGTGAGAATCCCACAGCCCTGCCACACGCTCGTGATTGTGGACGCTGGTATGGTGAGACCACCATGACCATGCTCAGCGTTTTTGATGCTGTTGCTAGTCAACATGAGATGATCGCAACTTCGATTCGCAACTTCCCCCGTGGATTATCAAATTCGGCCTCCGCGCCCCTCTCCAGAATTAAATCCTATTGAACCGGGATAAAGAAAAGGGGGGAAAGGGGGGGGGTACATTTCTATCCGGGGCACGCGGTTATCGTCATGAAAAATACTAGGTGCAAAAAACACCGTGCGCGGAGGGGATCGTTCCCCTCCCCAGCAATTTCAGGGGAGAGAGGAGAGCAGTATTCACAGTGAGCAGTTGTGGAGGACAGAATTCGGAGGTTGAAGAGCTGTGCTCCCCGCCCACTGCGCCCCTCCGACTTCTCTCGGAACTCTGGAGCTCTTGCGGCCCTCTGTGCCTCGTAAAAGGTTACTCTGGAAGAAATTGCTCGGTCAAGCCCTGGGGAGTCCGTGGGGCAGCTGCCGGTGCTGCCGCCGCCCCGCAGCAGCAACACCGGGAGGGAGCGAGGAAGGAGGTGGCGAGAAGGGAACATGAGAATGAAGGGGAACTGGAACACACAAATAAATACACACAAATAAACATATCCCCCATATTTTCCCATATTTTCTGGGTTTCTGTCTTCCCCCCACTTCCCATATTTTCCCATATTTGCCGATTAATTGTGTCTGTGTGTTTTTTCCCCTCCTGAGAGAAATCATGGAACATCTCAAGCATACGTCAAACACTGGTGCAACGAGGCCAGGTCCGCGAACACCACGACAGGAACGCAGATGACAATGTCGAGAGGCTCCTGGAGATCCCAAGTCCCTAGAAGCCCCCGGAAGCCTCGGGAGGAGTGCAAAGACCCCCCCCCAATACCACCAAACCACCAAACCCGCAAAACCTCTGATGCTCGAGCCTCGACCCACGATGACCCAGACAAAACCGCGCGAAACTGGCGAGCAGATGCCGAACTCGGGCTGCACAACCTGGCCGCCCGCCCGCACCACCACGAGATCCTGGCCAGGCCCTTTGGCGCGGACGAGAGCCATGGAGAGCGGCGACCGGGGAGGCGGTCGGCGGGTCGATGGGCGAGCTGAGGCGCACCAACAATGGCTTCGAGGCCAAGATGATGTCCATTACTGGGTTCAACTGCCGTCCCACGCCCTCGCAGGCGCGCCGGGGTGCAAGGCCGCGAGTGGCGTCACCTTCTGCTCCACATGTCCCTGTCTGCTCGTGAGCATGGCTCATCTCGGACCCTTGGCCCTGCGCGATAGAAGGAGCTCAGAGACTTCCAAACACGATCTCAAAAGACTTCCCCAACTCCACAGGGAAGGCCAAGAGGCCCATCAGAAGGCCAACACTCTTTATACAGCTTATCTTAGTCTTGTTTGAAATGTGTTGCGCTTCCTGGGCTGATCGGCTCAAAGCAGTGCCAAGAGGAGCTCGGAGGAGCCAAAGAGAGGCCCAAAGAGCTCAACGCGGGCCTGCAAAGGCCTCCCCAGACGGCCCGGGACAGCTTCAAGAGGGCCCCAAAATGGCCCAAGCGGGGCCCAGAGCAGTCCCCAGAGATCCCCCAGACGACCGAGGGGGGCCAAGGACGGCCCAAGAGACCCCCCAAATGCCCCAAGAAGTTCCCCAAGACTCGCCCAAGACTGCCCAAAATCCCCCATGGGAAGCCCTCACGACATGGAGGCAAGAAGTTTCACATGTGATACCCTTCTGTCGGCGCTTGAAGCGTCGCCACACGGAGTACTGCGCTGGCACGGCGATGGGACTTATCAGAAGCAATCTGAAATTGTCCACACTTGTAGCCGCCACAAAGGCACACTCGCCGGCTCTGTGTGTCATCGTACAAACGTGATGCCTATTGAAAGCCGCGACGCCCTGGTGAGATAAGAACCCTGCGACTCACTGATGTGCAAGCTTCCCATTTCTGGCTGGAGGATGATACGAACATCTCCGCTTCGATCCTGTGACTCTGTGGATCAATCATCAGCGACACTATTTCAACTGTAAGAGGAAATAAGATACCATCACGCATGCGACCAACGAATCGCATGTCAATCCATGAGCTGCCACACTAATTTTGTAATACAAACTCAGACGATTGATCCAACTGTTCCAGAGCCACTACTTTGCGTGGAACAGCCAAATACTCCAACTCCAATGGGACGTGCACCACCTTGTCAAATGATTCAAAACTATCGGGCCCAACGCAACTTGGGTCCACGTCTGCAGTTGAGCTTTCGAAATTCGCAATCGACAACATATTCGACACTACAGGAACTTTTCGCTCCGCGATAGCAATGCATCTGGATCGTCCCATAGGTAGCTTGGCTAGGCGGACCTCATCTGAGCATGCAGCCAGGCCTGGTAACGCAGCAAACGCGGGCGTATCATTAGTTCAGCTCGACGGTCTGCCACCGAGTAGCTAACAGTATTGGCATATGCAGAGGTCGAGCTCATACCGATGCCGATGCACCCTCCATCACACATGAGAGAGAGAGAGAGAAAGACAGAGGGAGAGAGAGAGAGAGAGAGATAGAGTCCATCCTCTAAGACGATGATGCTGTTAGCAACCTGGCGGGCGCTCGTAACTGACTCGTTTCAAAACGTGCTTAACATTCACCAACACGCACATCAACCACACTGGTGACATCTTTACGACAGGCCGCACAACATGCAACTCGAATCACATGGAGCATCCACATGCACATATCATTCATACTATCCATGGTACTCTACACGGCAGAAGCACCAACTGCGCATCGTGTCTACACTTCACTTTACAATCATAAGCTCATAGCCTTTGTTGAGCGTGCTGCTTGTAGATTGGAGCATGTAGGCGGGGTGGGTAGCATGTAGGTTTCGGTCTGCGCCGTGCTGGGCGTCAGCCAGGCCAACAAAGACCGAACACTGCCAAAGAGCCCCGCAGTGGGCCCCAAGCGGCCCCCAATATGCCCCCAGGAAGCCCCTGGAGGTTCCCAGGAGGCCTCCTCCTCTTTCTCCTCCTCCTCCTCCTCCTCCTCCTTCTCCTCCCCTCGTCCTCCCTGTTCCCCCTTCACCTCCTCTCTGGCCTTCCCTTCTCCTGCTCCCTTCTCTTCCGCCCCAAAGTGTTCTCCCAAGGGTTCCCACAACGGCTGGGGGAACACAGAGTCCAAGAGCTTGGCGAGACATTTGCCCAACGTCGGGCCGCAAAATAATTTCCAATATGCACGGGGCGGCAGTGTTTCACCGTACGCTCTTGACATTGCGCTCTCTCGCTCCATATCTTTACCACTTTTTGTATGCTTGTGTATTCGTCGGAGGTGAAGAGGTGAGATCGAAATGGAACGGAGAGCCCCCCTACCGGGAAATCGGTTTCGGTTTCGTGTTCGTGCGTGCCGTGCGTGCGGGCGAGGCGAAGCTGCGTGGGCGGGCGAGAAGAAAGTCTCCTCCAGCTGAGGCGCGGCCAGACCAAATGTTTCCTCTCCGGGGGCCGGTGGCGCGCGGTGTCCCGCCGGTGTCCCGCCTCCGGCTGAGGCGCGGCCGGACTTAATGTTTCTTCTTCGGTGGCGCGCTGTGTCCCGCCGGTGTCCCGCCGGTGTCCCGTCGGTGTCCCGATGATGATGATGATGATGATGATGATGATGATGATGATGATGATGATGATGATGATGATGATGAAGATGATGTCGATGATGATGTTGTTGATGATGATGATGATGGTGGTGATGATGGTGTCCCGATGATGATGACGATGATGTTGACGATGTTGATGATGATGGTGATGATGATGGCAATGGTGGTGATGATGATGGTGTCCTGATGATGATGTTGATGATGCTGATGTTGCTGATGATGATGGTGTTCCGATGATGATGATGATGATGATGATGTTGATGATCCTGATGATTATGAGATGATGAGATGATGATGGTGCTGATGATGATGAAGATGATGATGATGATGGTGCCCCGATGGTGATGGTGAGGATGATGTTGATGATGATGATGCTGTTGATGATGATGATGATGGTGATGATGATGGTGCCCCAATGGTGATGATGTTGATGCTGATGATGACGATGAGGGTGTCCCGATGATGATGATGATGATGATGATCATGATGATGATGATGATGAGGATGATGATGAGGTGATAATGATTTTGATGATGGTGGCCCGAAGATGATGAAGCTGATGTTGATGTTGATGTTGATGATGATGATGATGATGGTGTCCCGATGATGATGATGATGATGATGGTGATGAAGATGGTGGTGACGATGATGATGGTGTACAAATGATGATGATGTTGATGATGTTGCTGATGACGATTGTGTCCCGATTATGATGATGTCGATGATGTTGTTCATGATGGTGATGATGATGAGATGATGAAGATGATGGTGGTGGTGTTCTGATGCTGAAGATGATGATGATGGTGTCCCGATGATGATGATGTTGATGATGATGACGATGATGGTGTCCCAATGATGATGATGGTGATGATGTTGATGATGATGGTGATGAGGTGATGATGGTGTCCCGATGATGATGTTGATGACGTTGATGTTGATGATGATGACGTTGATTGTGAGATCGATTATGATATCGATAGTGAGATCGTTAGTGAGGCCGAATGTGAAATCGATAGTGAGATCGATATTGAGATCAATTGTGAGATCGATAGTCAGATCGATTGTGAGATATATCGACTGGAATATATCGAGTGATATCGATTGTGAGATCGATCGAGTGAGATTGATCGAGCGAGGCCGATCGTGAGATCGATAGTGAGATCGATAGTGAGACCGATCGAGTGAGACGTTGGTTCCTCCCCCCCCGAAACCTCCTTATCACCCGAAGGGTGGTCGTATAGGTATGCATCTATGTCCGCCACCGTGCCTCTGGGCACAGGGTGGGCGCGTCCCCTGGTCCTTTGCCTCATCCCTGGAGCCTCCGTCCTCGGCCCTGAAGAGTCTTTCTAGGGCATGGACCCCGCATTTCAGAATTTCGTGGGGCCTGCCGCGGGAAGGGGCCCTGGGACACACAAATAAATACACACAAATAAAAATATTCCCCATATTTTTCCATATTTTCTGATACTTTCCAATATTTTCTGGGGAATCGACGATTAATTGTGTCTGTGTGTTTTCTTCCCTCCTGAAAGAAGGCCCCACGAGCCAAGAGGGCCCCAAGAGGCCCTAAAGACGGTCCAGGAGGGGCCCCGAGCCGCCGAACGATCGCTCCAAGACGTTCAAGATGGCCCCAAGGCGGCCCAAGAGGCCTCCAAGGCGCCTCAAGAAGCCCCCTTAGGTGCTTAAGGGTTCTGGCTTTCTCGCCTTTCCGCTGGGGCCTCTTGGGGGTCGAAGAGTGCGTCAAGACGGCTCAAGATGGCCTCGAGACGGGCCAAGACGACCCCAAGACGGCCCAAGATGGCCCCAAAAGCATCCAAGAAGGCCCAAGAGGGCCCCAACAGGACCCCCCAAGAGCGCCTCCAGAGGCCGAAATCGTTGAATAGTTTCATTAGGTTTTTGAAGGATTTGAGCGTTCTCGCCTGTTTCGGCTCGGCGGCGAGCGAGGGGGGGAATTGAGAAGGGGCGGGCCTTCTCAGAAGTCTCGGAAGTTCCGCGGCCTTCCGAGAAGTTTCCTGAGCCTTCCCAGAGGACAGACAACACTTCTCAGAAGGCGCGAGGGCTTCTGAGAAGTCCCGCCGCCTTCTGAGAAGGCCTTCTCCTTCTCATTTCCCCCCCTCGCCCGCCGCCTATCGGCTCTCCGGGGCCCATGACGGCACAGGCAGCCTCCAACATGGCCCTGGCACGACCCAAGACGCCACCAATGGGGGCCCCACGCCGGCCAAAAGGGGACCTCCGGAGAGCCCCCAGAACGGCCGCGAGGGGCAGACACGACGGCCTCCGAGGGGCCAAACTGCGCAAGAGCGCCTCAAGACGGCCCCGAGAGGCCCAGAAGCAGCCCCCAAGAACCCCCAAGAGGCCCCCAAAGGGCCTCCAAGAAGAGGCCTTCCACCAGGCCCCGCAACGACTGGACTACACGTGCTCCGCACGTGCACCCGGCGAAGCGAAAGGAATCTCCTCAGGTTTTTAAGGTTGTTGGCTTTCTCGCCTTTTCGGCTCCCCGACGTTCCAAGACGGCCCAAGAGGCCCCCAAGATCACCCCAACACGGCCCAGAGGAGACACGAAACGCACATCCGAGCCTTCCGCCTCAAGAGGCCCCCAGGAGGCCCCCAGAGGCGCCCAGGAGGCCGGAGGAGGCCCCAAGAGGCCCCCAGGAGGCCCCTGGAGGCCCAAGAGAGGCCCCAAAACACGCCCCAAAACGGCCTCCAAGAGGCCTCGAAACTGCCTCTAAGAGGCCCCCGAGAAGCCTCTCTTGAGGTCGCAACGGACATCCGATAGGCTTCATACCCACAGCTTGGGCACGGTGGCGGGATGGGCCGAAGGCTGCAGGCCGCTCGCGAACCACATCTTGGACCCCAGTGGTGAAGACGCCTCAAGCGAAACGGGCCAGAGCACCTAAATTCTGAGCATCTTGAAGCCTATGGTTCCGAGGATGTCTCGGGCAAAACAGGCCGGAATACCTCGCGAACCACATCTTGGAATCCAGAACTGTGAGGACGTCTCTGGCGAGACGAGTCACAGGACATCTAGTCAGGGTATCCTGGAGCCCGATGTTGCGCGGGTGGCTTTCTGTAGGCCATGGGACGCACCCAACTCTTTTGAGGGCAATCCCTCCCCAACACCTCCCCGGCACCGCCGTTGGGGTTGCTGGGTCGCCCGAATCTGTCCCGGGCGACCCGGGCACCGGGGCTCATGTGCACTGTCCCACTTGCCAGCCAAGGCAAGCCCTGGATGGGGCCCAAACAGCCCGAAAAGCCAACCGAAATGGACAACGAAGACCACACGGCTCCGAAACACACCTCCATCCCGTAAAACTAACGGACCATTCGAGACATCCTCACAATATGGGCGCGAACGCCCATGACACACCCTTCGTCGGCAGAGCAACAGCCCGCATCACCAGGCACGATCGAGCCTCGTCCAGCCCTGGCGACGAGAAGTGTCTCGAGAGCATTGACAAGCAGAGTATTGGTCAGACAGCAATGCGAGCATTATCATTCCTCCCCCTCGACCTCAATCATCCTGCTACTTCTCCTCCCCCCTACTCAATTCGCTTCGCACTCCTCCACGGTTGCTCGGAACTGCAGGGACGTCTCATGCGAGACTGGCTGGACACCCTCGCACGCGGCATCTCTTTGCCCATAATTGCAGGGACGTCCCAGGCGAAACAGACAAGATCACTTCGCGGGCGGCACCTTGAAGCCTAGCGCAGCGATGATGTCTCAAGCGAAAAAGACGAAGCAACCTCAGGTCACGGTATCCCCGAGCCCAGAACGTTTTGAGGATGCTTAAGGGGACATGGCCCAGACCACCTCTCGCGTAGCGTCTGGGAGCCCAAACTTGCGAGGATGTCCCAAGCGAAACGGGCCAGACCATGTCAAATGTGGTCGTCTCGGAACGCTGACTTGTGAGGATGTCTCATGCGGAACGGACCGAACCACCTCAACATGTTGCCAATGCCTCGACGCGCGGGCCAATCGGGCGGCATTCGTCCTTACCGCCACAATGCCCGCCCCCTGGCACCGGCCGGGCGACCCGAGAACACTCCAAGACAGAACTCATTGAACGGAAACAAGCGAGAAATTTCCCAATCAGAGTTTGCCTCTGCAGGGGTCCTAGCGGATTCATATGGCTAGATGAGGTGGGCCGCCGATTTCGGTAGCCGCCCCACAGCCCTATAGCCCTATAGCCCCATAGCCTTCTAGCCCTATAGCCCTGTAGCCTTATAGCCCTGCAGCCGTATAGCCCCACAGCCCCGTAGCCCCATATCCCTATAACCCTATAGCCCTATAGCCCTGCCCTATATCCCAATATCCCAATAGCCCTATAGCCCTATAGCCCAACAACCCAATAGCCCAATAGCCCTATACCTCCATAGTCCTATAGCCCTATAGCCCTCTAGCCCTATAGCCGTATAGTCCGGTAGCCCTATAGCCCTACAGCCCTATAGCCCCATAGCGCTATTAGCCTTATCGCCCTGTAGCCCTATAGCCCTGTAGCCCTATAGCCTTATAGCCCTATAGCCCTACAGCCCCATAGCCCCATAGCCCTATAACCCTAAACAAATTCTGTATTTTTTTTCTCCGGTCTCGTTAATCCACATACGCACCCAGACTTCACCCTCCGGCCACGCTAACAGGAAGCGGAACACTTTGTGGATGACGAGGCGGCAAAAGGAGCCTTGAATGGAACAGGAACGCGTCATGTGTGTTTTTCTCATGATCGTAGTCGCAGTGCCTCGCAAATGTGATCTGTGTGCTGTGCAATGTTCGCGCGCTCCATCGGTCTACTTCAAGCGCGAGAAATGCAGCACACGCTCCGCGACACCTGTGGGGTACATGGCCCACTTGCGTACGGATGGCAACCAAGGACACCATACTCGCGTTTCCATAGCCACTGGTGCACGCACATTCGAGCTCTTACGGCTCATTCGCGCATCCAATCGCTTCTCGACTTCAGGACGCTGTGATGTCGCGTTCCCGCCTTGAGGGCAATCCAAGATCGAACATGTACCCTCTTCCTCTTCCTCTCTCGCTGCCTCTCTTCCTTGCCATCCCCTCCTTCTGCTGCTACCGCCACACTCATCAACTGCCACCTCTTTTCTCGTCCTCCTCCTTCCAATCATTGGACGGATTCAGGGGGCGGGCTTGTAATGACTTTGGGCCGTCCGAAAGGGGACCGACACCATCTTGGTCTCGTCTTAGCTCCTCATGAGGGGCGTTTACCATTCTGGGGACTGTCTTTGGAAACGCTCCACTTAAGACTGCCATCTAGCTAAATCGGTTCCAATCTTGCACTCATCTGCGGCTCAACTGTTATCGTGAACGTCCCCTCCCTTCCGTCTCGCAGACAGGGAGACAAGAACCTTGACAAAGTTCGTCTCCAGTTTCACCCGATGACTGCACGCCAACCCGAGCATCTCGCTGAATATGTCGCCTATTCGCACCTGCAACGGATCAATACAATGGCACAGCACTGGCTACACAAACCGAGCAATCGCACCACCGCATTTTCACAAACACGATGTGTCTTCGAACCGCTTGT